AAGCTTGGCGAATTCTTACCTGCGAATTCACATCAGGTGATTGCACAAGACCAAAAGAAGATTGTTTAAAATAAGAAACTTTATATTTGGAGCAATCGCTAACTTTTATTAATGTCTGATCATATTGTTTAACCCTGCCCCTTGTCGCAGCGTCGCACGACAGAATTTTTCCAGCACAAGCTCTAGTGTGACCGCAGCTTAAGTCCATTTGGAAAAGAATGTCTGCTAAATGACTAAATGTAAATGTAATTTCCATGACTTTTCCCAAACCTTGTGGGTTTTTCTGTTTTTCCAAAACTTTTCTGAGCCTGAAAAATGCCATGTCAAATTTCATTACTTTCCTAGATTTTCCATCATATAAACCGATAATTAACCCCACCATCAATTCCACATAAATGAAATGTAATAATAATTGCCATTTAAACAGCACTTCAAATCAGTGCCTAAACTAGCAGGACTCTGGAGGGATTCTTATCACTGGTTAAAATAATAAAGATAGGGATAAATCTTTAGTAATGATCAGTACTGGGTACTGAAACATGATGCCAACATGTCACCAGTATCTATATTAACAGTAAGTGTTTGGACCAATTTTTGTGCCACTTAAAAGGATAGATTACCTGAAAAGAAAATGTACTCATTATTTACTCATCCTCTAATGGTTCCAAAGCTTGATGTTTTGTAAACAAATGAAAGATATTTTGAAGAATTTTGGAAACTGTTAACCATTGACAACCATAGTAGGAAAAACAAATACAATGAAAATCAAAAGTTACCAGTTTTTAGCATTTTTTTAAAGTCTTTTTTTTTCCTTTTCATTTTTAGGTAAACCATTCCTTTAAACGCCTGTCAGATATGTTCATATGTGCTTCTCTATATATGACGAACATGCCTAACTTGCAGGAAAAGTACATGACCCAAGTTGTCTTATTAAACTTTTATGGCTCACTGAAGTGCTTGTTTCTAATTCACGACATTCCAAGGTAGCGTATGCTATTTTCAGATAACAGGCTCATCCAGTTACTTCAAATTATCTTGCCTGTTAGTAAATATATTCATCTTGTGTTTTGGCTGTTATGCATTTGTAAATGCTTATGAACCATTTAGTTTCATGGTTAATACACAAAACTCCCATAGCATAACATTTTATGTCATTACATTGCTGACATCTCTGGTGCCATCAGATAGAGCTTTTTTTAGCAGGTTAATGCAATAATGTATGCTTTTCAAGTAAATGTCAAGTGGCTATGTTCAAAATAAAACTGTCACACTTACAATACAGCACTGTACACACTGCTCTTTCAGACGATGACATTGTTAGAGGAACAAACTGACATTCAAGTCAATATTTACAGATAGTTACTTTATTTAATGATCTTTCACCTGACATTCTGGACAGGTAATGACGTTGCCCTGGGACTGGAGCGCGCGCAGGCACGTGCAGCAGAAGATATGCCCACACAACAGCACGTGCGGCAGATTCCCCACAGCTTCATCTTCTGAAGGAGAAAGCATAATTCACCAGAACTACTGTAAAACTAACAGTGTTCACAGTCGCATTTCGATAATGTTTATCACGATTTATTGCTGTTTATAATAACGCATGGAAACTGGAGCCTTCATTAAAGTCGGGAGTCGTCAAAAGGCCGCGTGTAAGATTACCGATAAAAAGAATGAAATGTGTAATAAAGTACAACACATTTTAGATATTCCCACAAAGTTTGTTGTCTATTACCTGGTAAAGTGTACGGTGAGCCACAGATTTTACACGTTACCGCTGTCTCCGACATTTTCCACAGAACTTCTGGTGACCTGTTTCATTACACTGAAGAGTTCACTATTCAATTGTCCAATCAGAATCAGCCGTCGCTTTGTTTGTGTCCAATCACAGGCGTCTTTACTTACGCCGATCTGCTATAATCCAATCATTATGCTTTATTTTTAATCGCGTCGCGATTTTCGCAATTTTTTATCTTGCCTAAAATAATTAACAAAAATATAAGTATAATGAGCTTATTATATTTACTTTATATTTATCTTGTATAATAATTATTATACAATATTAAAAATAACACACAAGGTTAATTCTCATTTAAACCTAAATCAAAATTTGGAAGCTTAAAATTGCTTCAGTTTTAAATTCAAGATAGATTAGGTAAAATACTCTACCTGACAAAAGTCTGGTCACCTATCCGAGCTTTTGGAGCAACAAATAATAACTTTAGTTGTAGTTGATCATTTGGTATCAGAAGTGGCTGAAAGGTAAAGGCCTCTACGCTTATTTTACCAAAATAAAATATGATCGTGTCTTGATTTTTATTTATTTAATTAGAACAGTAAGGTTTGACTTTGCTTAGACAAAAGTCCTGTCACTGAAGAGAAATAATGTACGGTAAAGAATATAAGGTCATGGTGCAGTAGAAAAAGAATGAATATTGTGTATGGCGCCCATGAGCTTGGACGACTGCATCCACACATCTCTGCAATGACTCAAATAACTTATTAATAAAGTCATCTGGAATGGCAAAGAAAGCGCTTTTGCAGGACTCCCAGAGTTCATCAAGATTCTTTGCACTCATCTTCAATGCTTCCTCCTTCATCTTACTCCACTTGAATGCTCAATAATGTTTATGTCTGATGACTGGGCTGGCCAATCCTGGAGCACCTTGACCTTCTTTGCTTTTAGGAACTTTGACGTGGAGGCTGAAGTATGAGAAGGACAGCTATCCTGCTAAAGACTTTGCCCTCTCCTGTGGTTTGTATTGTAATGGGCAGCACAAAAGTCTAGGCTGTTAATGTTGCCATCCACTCAGCAGATCTCTCGCATGCCCACATACTGAATGTAACCCCAAACCATGACTTTTCCTTCACCAAACGTGACTGATTTCTATGAGACTCTTGGGTCCATGTGGGTTCCAGTAGGCCTTCTGCAGTATTTGTGATGATTAGGATGCAGTTCAACAGATGATTAATTCTGCCACTTTTTCAAATGATCAACTAAAAGTCAAGTTATTATTTGTTGCTCTTACAACTGATCAATGATCGATGAAAAGACTTTTGTCAAATGTGACAAATGTGTTGTGAATTTTACATAATTTAGAAATGAGGACAGATTAATCTCAATGTAGGACTACCAGGTTGCAGTTCATTTGGAGTAATTTTCTGCTAAACTGTCAATGAGCAGATGCCTTCTGGCAAACATGCCTGACTCTCAAAGAGCAAAAGAAAAGGGAAAAAACAATGGTAACAATTCAATTCAAACCTTCTCAACACATGCTTCTGGCTTACAATACTCAATTTTAATTATGTATGAATGTAAACAAGTGCAATTACAAAAGGATACACACGTCCAAACAATTTTGCTAGTGAGTCTAGGTTTTTGTATTTAACTTCTCATAGTTGTTATTGTTGAATTGAAATTTTCACAGTACAACCTGTAAAGCAAGAGCCGTATAACCCCAGACCTACCCTTTTATTATACCAACTGCATTCCCATCTCTTCTTTATCTTTACACAATCATTCCTGGCAACTCCCTCTTTTTCTTTGTCTGTTCTGTTGGTCTGATCGACATATTTACTTTAATACATTCTGAGAATTATTGAAATATCTAACATGATCCCAGAAGAATGTTTTGATAAATGTGAATGAATGTAGGCAACTTTTTTATATGATCCTATAAACTGTGTTTATTAATTGAAGAATCATAAGATGTTTCAGTGCCCTCTTTTTTATCAAGGACAAAAGCATTGTAAACTAAATCTGTCCCCTTGTTTAAGGACACACAAAAAATCTGCAAATTTAAAGGATTTCAAATACCAAAGAAAACTTTCTCTTTGTTATATTTTTGCTGACTATTTTTCAAAGACTTACTGCTTAATATACAAATATAAGATTCTACCAACATGATTTTGGGATGTCACAGCTATATCAGGCTATATGACAACCCAATCTCACAGGAAAATGCTGTAGCCTGTACGAAAACATCTGAAGTTCATAAGGAATATAGCCTGTATTCTGCCAAAGCTTAAAACAGTTATAAAGTTGGTACAGGGTGACATGGTGGCTTTGTGGTTAGCACTGTCGCCTCACAGCAAGAAGGTTGCTGGTTCGAGTCCTGGCTGTGCTGGTTGGCATTTCTGTGTGAAGTTCGCATGTTCTCTCCGTGTTCACATGGATTTCCTCAGGGTGCTCCGGTTTCCAAAGGTGTAGGTGAATGGAAAAATTGGCCATTGTATGAGTTTGTCTGAGTGTGTATGCGTGTTTCATAGTACTGGGTTGCAGGTGGAAGGGCATCCGCTGTGTAAAACGTATGCTGGATACGCTGGCGGTTCATTCAGCTTTGGCGACCCCTGATGAATAAAGGGACTAAGCCAAAGGAAAATGAATGAATAAATAGGACCATGGTGCTCATGGCGACCCGAGTTTGATTCCCTGCTCAAGATCCTTTGCTGACCCTTCCCCTCTCTCTGTTCCCAATATTTTCCTTTTTGTAACCTCCAAGGTCTTATCCAAATTAAAGGTGATAAAACCCCTAAAAAATAAAAAGACAGTTATAAAAAAAGTAATGAATTGCCATAGAAGATATATCAACATAAAAAAAACACCATTCTGAGACAGATGTACTGTATAGCTTCAGAATCAAGTGTGAGACCGAATTACAAAATACAATTTATATAACAAAATAGAATACGTAATAAACGAAATAACTATAGGCAGTGAATGAGTACAGTATTAGGAGTGAGGTAATACAAGAAAAAAAATTCCTTAAAGTGACAGTTCACCCCAAAAGAAAAAAGATTAATGAACAAAACAAGCACTATGAAAGTCAGTGGTTATTGTTTTCCATCATTCTACACAATAACTTCTTTTGTGTTAACAGAAAAGAAACCCATAAAGGTTTGTCAACTGAAGTAAATGGTGACAGAATGTTAATAATTGAGTGAACTATTGCTCTAAAATATGTATATATTTAGAAAGTATATATTTAACTATTTAACTGTTGGATTTTTCACTTAGTATTTCAGACAATGAATAAATAATTACTGCTAAAGTAATTTTAACTACAGTAAACTAATTCAAAACATCAGGCTAAATCTTTCATAACACTGAAGGACGTTAAAGCATGTTTAATTTATGAACATAGAACATTATCTTGACTTATTGATTATACTATTGTTTACAGAGTTGTGTTTAACCAATTTATAAATCAGTAAAAAATGTTGGCACTATTATATGAAGATCTCATTTCCTGTGTCTGACATTTAATTTACTTTATTAAGCAAACATTTGTTCAGATTTACTAAACAATCAGAAAGAAGAGACAACCTGATGGAGTACAGTGACTAAAGTATGAATACAGTTTAAACAAGCGTCAATCAAACTGGCTACATCTGGTGAGAAAAGAGGCTTAACTTTGTCTGACTATTTACTCATCCCGGTAAGGAGGGGGTATAGGGTGCGAGGACAAACCAAACCATTATTATCAAAAAATATTAAATAAAATCTCCTCAAAGTATCAGTCAAAATATCAAAATTTCCCAAAAATCAAACAGTTATAACAGCATACAGTTGTTCTACAAAGTGTAAACATGATCTCCTCTGTCAAAACTGTAGCCATATGTTGTATAGACAGACTTATATCCCATTATGAACCGAGATCCCGCCCCCTAAATCCTCCCCCTGCTGCTCAGAGACACAGACATAATCTTCCATCTTTCAGAGGGGAAAGACAAATACATTGCTCGGATAAATCAAAGTGTGGAGCTTGTGTAGGATCGAAGAGTGGATTTCAACCCTGGATTCAGTGTTTCTACCTCAGTGAAACAGAGAAGCGCAGGACAAAAGTGTGGAGAGGATTATCCAGAGGCAGGTGATGATATGGAAACATTGATCTGGTCAGACCTCTAAATCACCTCTAGTGTTTTTTTACTTTTGAATATGGGGCCACTACATGAGCCAGGATGGCAGAAGAGGAGCCGAACCAAAAGTTGTGGGGAATATCATCTCTCCAATGTAAGTAAAGCAATGCTAATGGATGATAAACAACATAACGTCATCATAAAAAAAAAAAAATATATATATATATATATATATATATATATATATATATATATATATATATATATATATAATTATAACTATAAGATTATACATATAATGTGTGATGTATCCTGTGTTGTTTTAACTCAAATTTATGTAGTATGGGCAACTGTTGGGTTATTTATTTATTTTCTTTGCAGCATTTAACCCAAATTTGTTTAAAACTACTGAGATTATTTTAGAGTGAATATTGTTTTAGATTTTGTACATTATAGCCGATTAAATGTGATTAAATTATGGTACAGCCTATACTCTTTTACTTATACGACAGTGATTTGTTTTATTGTCACTCTGTTTTGCCAGATCAATACAGCTGGTGCAGAATTCTCCAGGGTTTAACTCCCATTCACAAAGCTCCATTAAGAAGATTAATAAAACAAATTCAGTAAAATAATTAAAAAGTACAATTCAAATGAAGGTAAAAGGAGATTAGTGAATGTAACAGCATAAAAAAAACGAATGATGTGCTAAAAAAGGCACATAAAATAGCTCAGATAATGAGGACACAACAATATTAGGGAGTATTGAATCACTCAGCTGTAATGTGATTTTGCGTTATATAAGAGATGCAATCAATACATTTAGTTTTTGTTTTACGTCAAACATATTAGCTCGCATTTTTGCAAAAGAATGTTAATTAACTAAAACTTGATTTGTATTTAAGATATGAACTTTTTAAATAGCTGTCAACTCAACCTACAATGCACTCAATGGATGCACTTGTCTTTTGGTATTTTTTTTTAGAAAATATAACAATATGTGCCAAATTTAGCAAACAGCTGAAAAAATATATAATAAAGAGCGGTACTTTCAACACTTAAATATACAATATTCATACAAATAAATTGACAAAATTTTCTCTAATATAAAACTAAACCGTATTTTAGCTTATTATTAATTAAAATATTTTGTAAATATGCTAAAACATCACACTTATTTGCCAAATGTACTGCTTTTAAATGACGATGTAAACATGTAATACATTTGTGTAGTTGTTGTTAAACAGACCTGAAGGTGGTTTCTTTTTAAGACAGCAGACTATATGGTTGAATTTATAAAATTAAACTTAAACGTTTACTGTAAAAATAATACTACACTTTATTTGATATAAAATATTTTTTACAAATGTATTTTTAGACAAATCAATTTGTCTAACCGGTCTAATCTTAAAGTTGAAGTTATAGGCGCTTTACCAAAAATAGCCACCAGGTGACACCCAAATCCATCCAGTTAGTTTGTTTTTAAGCACCTCCTGGCTCCTGCCTCAAGTTCTGCCTCAAGTCACCAAGTATTGAACCGTACGGTGACTGTCTGATATGTTTAGATTAGAAACGATGTGATTGTAAAACGCCTTAATTTTGTAAAACGAAACCTGACACCGTCCATTAGGGGGAGGAGCTCAACAATAGCATTTCGTTTCCATATTTATGCGACGTCCGATTTCCGAATGGTTTTTCACAATATGCATTTTGAGTTTTCAAGCTTTCAAATGATATACTATTTAGGAAGATCACTATAATTACTACATGCCATAGGAAAAATGCAGAAAACCAGCGTCTCTCTGATTTTCTGTGTGTTGTATGACGCTGATTACATCTTTTTAAATCGTACTGTCTTTTCTTCTTTCTCCAGAAATCCTTCTCTCAGCGCAGACAATCTGCTCCCTCAGTTATCCTCAGCAAAGCTCTTTCAAAGTCCAAACCTGTCTCCAGGTAATACAACAATTAAGCAAATTAACTTTAGATTTACTAAATATAATGATTATTCAAATGGTTATCAGTGTGTAAATAAATGGTACACTTTTACCATATTTCACATTTCATTCATTCATATGTTTTTATAGAGCTTTTACAGTGTAGATTGTGTCAAAGCAGCTGAATATAGAAATATGTACTAATATAGTAAATTGAAAATACAGTTTTGAGAGTTAAAATCATGGTTGTTATAAAGTAATAGCTGTCTTTTCAAAAGGTACATATTTGTACCTGAAGGGTCCATAACGGTACTTCAAACATTTTTTTCTTTTAGGTACATTTGGGTATTAATATGCACTTTTGAGGTACCATTGTGGACTCTTTGGAAACAAATATGTATCTTTTGAAAAGCTACTGTCCCCTTGACAGCTCCTGTACCTTTATTTCGGAGAGTGTAGATCAAACATGACCATTAAACCATTTTGCAGCCACACTGTAAAAAACTATATGATCGATTAGTCCTGACAGCTTGTTTTTAGGTTGTTGGCTAAGTTAATTATGTTCTGTCTTAGATTTATAAGGTATGCAAGCTGTCTAAGTCAGTTTAATATAATAAAAGTTCAACGGACTCATTATGTTAATTTGATTCAGCTTAAAATTTTATGGCAATGAGGATTTTTTACAGCCAGATTCAAACTCACCAAGCAGTTTGTTTCCCTCAAAAAGCATAATAATGTCACTCTTAGTGCTTGTGTGGCTTTAGAATATATTTTCATTTCTTTGAAAGGAGACAATGAAGAGATGCTACCAAAAGAAGCAGACTGTGTCTGTGTGTGTGGTCTTACAATCATCTGTGTATGTGTGTAAAAAAGTTGTCTAAAGAGTGTTTGTATTTGAAATCTACCTTTTATCTGACGTTCAGCTGTATCTCTGGAGCTCATTTCTCATTGGAGCAAGTGACAATGTGCTAACGTCAAAAGCCATAAATTATCACAAACCCACTGATAGGCTGGATGTGTTTAAGCAAACATCTACGAGGGATTTGTCTGTATTTTTTATGTTTTCCTGTGTTCTGCTGCCAGTATTGACTATTTTTCTTTTGTGCGTGTGTGTATGTGTTTCAGAGATTGTATATCTCAGGTTAGTCAGGACATCTGGGCCCTGATTCAGTCTCTTCTCAGCCCGACCAGAAAGCTGATTTGCCAAGGAAATGCGCTTCTGCAGACAGGCCTTCAGACCCAGGAGAGATACCTCATCCTCTTCACAGATCTGCTCATCATCACCAAGGCCAAGTATGGAAGAGGAAATTCACTGATGAGAAATAAACACTCACATGTGTCAGACTCAAAGACAAGATGTAGAATGTTGGTGACTAAAACTTAAAATTTGTCATTTTAAAATAAAAGTACAATTAAATAGTGCTTATTATATACATCCAAAGCATAAATGTACATATAAAATGCCTTTTTAATGTTTTGATAAAAAGCAAAATGTCAAATTATGGGAGAAATAAACGTCCGTCCTAAACCTAAACCAAAATAATAAAATCGATTAATTAATGGATAAATAACATTAGCCAAGGCATTTATATACTGCAACTCTCTGGTGATTTAAAGTGCTTCTTTTATCCTCATTTGTAAGTTACTTTGAATAAAAGCATAAGCTTAATGAATAAATGTAAAAATATTAAATTAGCGATTCCTGAAAAGTCCTTTTAATCTTTGACTACATAAATGATTCAACGGTTGAAGTTATCTTGCTTTCAAAAGTTACCATTCTAGTTTTTATCATGATTTGACTGAAAATACAGTGAATTTAGCAGTATTGTGAAATTTAGTTAGAAAATAATAACTTTAAATATCTAATAAAACTACATTTATTCCTGTTGTGACAAATTTGAATTTTCAGCATCATTACACCAATCTTCAGTGTCACATGAACATTCAGAAATATTTGCAACGTTTGGATTTGCTGCTCAAGAAACATTTATTATTACACTGAAAATATCTGCTTCTGGATTTACTTTTTAAAGTTTACAGTAGAAAACCTGATAGTGAGTTTCACTAATAATTACAAAGATTTACATGTGAAATTTTATTCATTTATTCATTTTTCTTTAACTTAGTCCCTTTATTCATCAGGGGTTAGCACAATGGAATGAACCGCTAACTTATCCAGCATATGTTTTACACAGCAGATGCCCTTCCAGGTGCAACCCAGCACTGAAAAGCACCCATACACTCTCTTATGCACATACATAAACAACAGACAATTTAGCTTACCCAATTCACCTATAGTACAAGTCTTTGGATTGTGGGGAAAACCAGAGCACCCAGAGGAAACCCACGGGAACAGGGGGAGAACATGCAAACTCCACACAGGAATGCCAACTGACTCGGCCGGGACTCGAACCAGCAACCTTCTGTGTTGCCTACATGTGAAAATAATTAAATATAATTTCTTATAAAATATGCTTCACAACTTTACACACTGTATTATTATCCATGCTGAGAGTAGTTGCGCTGCTTCATTTTGTTTATGCATTTTTGATGAATATAAAGTTTAAAATAACTTTGTTTTGAAATAGAAATCTTACACCATAAACATCTTTACTCTCCGTTTTAATAAATTATTGCATCTTTGCTGAATGAAGGCTTAAATCTTTAAAAAAAACCTGATTTAGACTTAGTGCGTATAGAGCAGAGGTGTCCAAACTAGGGCTCACGGGCCAAAGTTGGCCCTTGGTAACCTTTGATTTGGCCCACTATCCCATCTGAGAAGACAGTGACACTGATGGAGAGGGTTGTGCGAATGCCTTTAACAGAGATCGATTTCTAATTTACCATAAACTTTTTTGTTTGTTTGTTTGTTTGTTTTATTGCTGAGCTACACAAAAAAGCAAACTGAAAATAATTGATTAAATTAAATGTTGTAAATGAATCTTTTTTTTTTTTCATATAAATAGTCACTCAACGGATAGAGGACAATGATGGTGATGGGGTTGTTTTAACTGTAAGAAGTTCATTATAAAATGGAAAAATATAATGCATTAGTTAATATAAAATAATGTTTTTTATTTAAATAAATGAGGAACTCATTAATGGCAACTTTCATGTAAGAGTTTTTTTCTTTAACTCTTTAAGGCATATTTCACTTTGGCCCACCACGCTCAATCAAGATTGGTTAAAGGCCCTTCATAAGAAAAAGTTTAGGCACCCCTGATAAAGAGCAATAACACTTATGTGTATGTACAGTATGGTATAGTCCTGAATGTCTTTGCTCGTTGTTTGTTTTAGGTCGGTGCTGCAGGTGAAGCAGAAGGCATGTGTGCGGGTCAGCGAGATGTGGACGGCTTGTTGTGTGGATGAGGTTTGTGAGGCCAGTCCAGCTTCAGACAGGAGCTTCGTCATGGGCTGGCCCACCACTAACTGTGTGGCCACATTCAGGTACATATCTACACACATCCACTGTATATTAGTGTATTCACCATACTGGAGTTTCTAAATTTGACACACCATCCTAAAAATATTGATATACAACACCATTTCCAATACCACAGGTAGCAATACTCCTACAGCATTCATTCAAATTAGGATATTTATGTACAGGGGTAAACATTTATGCTGCTGTTTTGAACCATGTAGCATTTCAGTGAATTTAATTCGAACTTAATTTGAATTTTAGTATTGCAGAAGAAACTACTACTCTAAAACATTATTGAATACCAAATGGCCAAATACAACTAATAACACAAACAGAACAAATATGTAGATGTTACTTAGGTTAAAATCTTCAGGTCAGTCTAATTTAAGGTCAGTGATTTTGTCTTTAGATGTTGATTAATGTTAACGATAACAGCAAGTTAACCTTTCTTCCAATGTCTTTCAAAACGGTTTACTTTTTATGTTTGTAGGACCCTAACAAAGTGAAAAATAAATATTATATTGCTTAATTTTTTTATAGTACTTTTGTTAATTTGACTGTGTATGTATTGCTATCTATATGATTTCTCTTGTTAAAATAAATGTTTTGTGTGTGTCTACAGCACTTCAGAAGAGAAAGACAGGTGGCTGTTTCTCATTGAAGGGTCAGTCCTTCATACTTTTATTTAAAAAACTATACAATAATAAAAATAAAGAAATATGTCATCGATATCTATTATATAATCTCTCATTTTGTTTAGTTGTATAAAGGAAGAGAAAAAGTGTGATGAGCCGAAGATGATTCCGCTCAAGATATTTGCAAAGGATGTTGGGAATTGTGCCTATGTAAGGACTAAATGATTTGAGCTCTTAAAATACTGAACAGTAGTTTGGAAATGGAAATGAATGTAATTTTGCTTTTGTCTCTGTAGGCCAAGACTCTTTTTGTCAGCAACACAGATTGTACATCTGATGTCATTAGCACAGCACTGCAACAGTTTGGTCTTTCGGTAAGTTTAGATTGCACAACAACAACAACAACAACAACAACAACAACAACAACAACAACAACAACAACAATAATAATAATATAAATTATTGTATTATTAATTATTCTATTTGTAAATTAATAATTATTAGCATTAATACTCTTTAATATTAATATTTTTCTAATAAAAAATAATAATTTTTAGTTTTTAATTTATGGATTGCTTTTTAATGTGCAATAAATAAAATAATAATAAAAATAGTAATAATAATATTAATAGTAGTTTTTAATATTATTATTAAGTATTATTATTAATAATATTATGCTAATACAAATAGTTAATAATAATTGAATACATTTGTAGCAATTCTTATTGTATTTTTTTTATTACAATTTTATTAATGTTTTTTTATTTAACATTCGTTATTTTAGTCTTTGTTGTGATTAAAGAATATAATTCATATTATTATTGATTATAATATTTTTAAAGAATGAATAAATAAATATTTTATACTAATCTACTAATATTTAACTGATTGATTGTTTTGATGTTTCTTCACAGGGTGGAGTAACAGATTATAAATTGTGGGTGTGTTCAAAACAAGACGACACTCCATACCCGTTAATTGGTGAGAGCTGATCAGGAATCAAACATTTTATCTGTAAATTAATATATTAAATACAATAATTTTACTTTCCGAATATCTCCATGCTCAGTAAGTTTCTAAATGTGTTTTTGTTCCACAAGGTCACGAGTTTCCGTACAGTATCAAGATGAGCCACATTCGGCTGCTGCAGCGAGATGCAGTGACGTCAACCTACAGTCAGATGGCACTGATGCCCATTGATGCCCACTGTCAGTTCTTCCTGAAGCACAGTCAGATTAGCTGCACACACTCTGGTGAGATATGGGTATTTTCAAAATAGTACAGTAATACACATACAGTAATATGTTCTTTTTTTTTTGTATGCACATAATACCACCACAACTTGTGTTTTGCTCACAAATTTAACTAATACCTATCACCCAAATGATTGAATACATTAAGAATTTCAAGCAGTTTCATATTTGTATTCACGTTTTAAAATGTTATGCATAAATGTGCAAAAGATGCTGTATTTTATCAAATATATGCTAATTTGCATACATTTTTAGCACAAAAATCTAAGCACTGGATGAATTTAGATTCACAATTCTTAATTCTTATGTTTGACACATTTTATTAAGTCAACGGTTTTTACTGAAGTGATTTTAAATGTTTCTTTTTATCACCCCAAATTCAGAAATACATTGAACAGCCAGCATATGTATATGAAACTGCCGCTTTTAGGCTTTAATCCAAATTGTGCCGTTTTGGTGACTGTCACTTTAAATTCAAATGAGATTGTGCTCAACGCCCTCTTCACATTAGAGGCGGAGAGACAAATGCCTATGTGTAAGCATAGTGGCAAATTCAAAAACAAAACCAACCTATGCTAAGAAGGAAGGAGATTGTCATAAATAGGCGGGTCTTTCTCCTTCTGATGACACGTACAAAGGGAGAATATGTCAATAGTATTCAAAATACTGTTTTTATGAAGTGTGATTATAAAGAATAAAATGTAGATATTTTTACCATTACAAGCTGGCGATATTCACAGACTGTTGGCACACAACTGTGTTTAAACCCCTTGTAAAAGTGATTTTTGCACAATAGGTCCCCTTTAAGACATATATTCTACAAAAAGAGTCCATATAGAATAGAGATGTGCTGAAATCAATGTTTTGTTCCTCATCTGTCTGATGTTTCTCCTTCAGATCAGAAGAACAGGAGGAGGAGGATGTCTCTACTCAGCTGGGCATTTAAACGAGGCTCCAGCACTGAACGGTCTGTCCAGTCAGAATCTCCTACTTATACCATTGCATCTGCATCTGGACGACTGTTTGGTCGACCGCTCACTGATTTGATCAAGGATAATAGCTTGCCATCACCCATTGTGGTAGGTACTGACCAATTTACTTCTAGGCAATAAAAATGATAATAAAAAAGGTTCAAGGCAATAAAAAAGATGATTAAACCAAAGTGTGGTTTCTGGAATCTACATTTCACTGCTTTTAAAACATCATAATAAGAATGGACTGAAGTAGCATTGAATATTAAACACTTCAGAACTGTTATTGGTTCTTTGGTGTGTCGAAAACACATTTTGAGTAAACTTTAAATTTTTGGTTTATTTTATAAATTACTGTTGATAACAAAAAATAAATAAAATTAAGCAACTGCTTGAAAATCCATACATGCTCATATATATTCAATTAATATATGATAATTTGCTTATTTGAAACTTTGAAGGCTTGTTATTAATACTTCAAAAAATAAAACACATATAAACACTTCAATATATGTAACTATTAATGCCAAATCTAATGTTGGCCATAATCATCTTTTAAAAGCTGTTATGTTATATTTTTTAAACTGAAAAGTTGTGGATAATTCTGGATTTGTAATTGTGTTCCACATTTGAGTTTTGTGGTTACTGTGATATTTTGATTATACTTAAAACAGTTACATGCCTGGCATGGGAAATTTCAAACATATAATGAAGTAAATTTTGAAAAAAAAATAAAGAGAAAGAGAGAGAGAGAGAGAGAGAGAGAGAGAGAGAAAAAAAAAGCTGACTTAAATGTTTTCAAATTCTTTTTTTATGGTAATGCAATTTGTAATGTTAAAACAGGATGAATACATGTTGAACTATGTGATAGAGAACAGGACAATAAAAACAACACATTATTCCTTATTCATAATCTTAAACCCACCTGGTTTTTCTCCAGGACATGCTGAGGTGTTTGTGCAACGAAGGCGTCGTGACTCGAGGAATATTTCGGCGTTCTGCAGGAGTGAAGGCCTGTCGAGAGCTGAAGGAAAAACTGGATTCTGGCCACTACGAGGAACCGCTGACTGGAGAATCTGTACTAGTTACTGCTGCAGTGTTTAAGGTAATCTATGGAGAATGAGAAAACATTTATTCATGTACACTGTTCAAAAGTGTGTAAACATTTGAGTTTGTTTTTCAAAGTCTCTTACGATATATTTTTTATTTATTTGATTAAAAATGAAAGTGAAAACAATTATTGTAAAATATTATTATTAATTTAATAATAATTAGATTTCTATTTGAATATGATTTATATACAGTATATATATATATATATATATATATATAAAATAAATATAATAAAATAAAACTAATATATTTTGAATTCAAATAAAATAAATGATAACTGAAAATAAAATACATAAGCTAAATTACTAATACTAAGGCTGTGTGTTTACCTAAGGTGGTTAATTTTTTTCCAGTTGTTTTCAGTAAATGCCACATTTTTTAGAACACTAGCAGCATGACGAAGTGCTGAGCATCAGTTTCACGCAAACTGCCAAGTGCTCTTTGTTTTTCATGCTCTGACAGTTGGAAAAGTGCTCACGGCTTTTTTTTTTTTTTTTTTTACAAGAGTGCTGACATTTTGAGATATGCAAAAATGCATCGGTGGACATGCGTCCTTAAACTTTTTAATAATATAAATAAATAAATAACAGAAAAAAACGAATTTAACCTATTATAAAAACTACAATGGTTAAACAAAGACCCTAAACAAAAAGTAATAAAAAAAGTTGCACTGCTTAAAGGCATAATGCACCCAAAAATGAAATTTACTCATATTATTTAATAAATCTATTACTTAGACGTGTAACTATTGACTTCCATAGTAGGAAATCAAATACTATGGAAGTCAATAGTTACAGTTGTTGTAAAAAAATAAATGAGTGAAAAGGAAGAGAAGAACCCAGTCCAGGAGACTCGGAACAAGCAGAATTCCTTTATTGAGATGTGTTGGTTAATCTGCAGTCATACAGCGTCTTTAAGATGTCCATGTGTCTGCAAGAGCCTACTAGAGGTCCGCAGACTGCAAGTTCTTTCACAAGTCTCTCACAAGTCTCACACAAGTCAATGATTTCATGGCTATATTGTGTTCTTAGGAGGAGGGGATATAGCTAAACAAAGCATGCAAATTAAGAGTTGTGGTCGGCAGGGTAAACTGCTTTTTCCGGCCAGATCTTATCATGTTCTGGAGACAAAACCTCCTGACCATTTGATTGAAAAGAGTAAACAATAGACACCCCATGCTGTGAAACTGATAATTGCATCACTTTGGCTTAGCCTGTAGTCAGCAAGGCAAAGGTTAAATGACCCTGCTAGCTGGCATGTCAATGAAATAATATAATTAAAAACCAGAGAATATTACTTTTTAGTTATACGTAGATTATTGTTAATTTGAAATTAGATGATATCAATTTATATTTCCACACAGGTTTCCAACAGGTTTACAGATATCTTCTTTTGTGAGTCACAGATAGGTTCGAAATGAGTAAAAAGTCAGTAAAAGATGAAAGAATTTTCACTTTTGATTGATTTATGCCTTTGACATATTTTGTTAAGTAAATAATTATTTGAGGAATAACATTGATTTTAAACTTTGAAAGACAAAGCATCGTCACGTTTAATCAATTTAGTGCATTCTTACAGAGTAAATAATGGATATTTATTAACTTTCTTTCAACTTATTCTCTGGTTTATCAGGGGTCCGCCACAGCCAAATAAACCACCAACTATAAATATTCATGTCTTTCTTTAAAAAAAAAAAAAAAAAAACTGACCTCAAACTTTTGAACAGTTATACTCATCAGTAAACAATGACTTCATGGTCATGATTCTGCTTTCTCATATCTGTGGATCTGGTAGGAATTTGTACGCAATATACCTGGCAGTCTGTTGTGTGAGGAGCTTTATGAGCAGTGGATCCAAGCAGTGGAGCAAAAAGAAGAAAGAGACGAACACTTGATGGAGAGAAACCTGCAAGAAGTCCAGAGGTAACACTAGGATTAGCATATCAGCCGTTATAATGCTAGTTTACTCAGGATAAAACCTAGATAATGATGGATCAGGTCTGTAATATCACTGCACACCTTAAGCAGATTTAAGTTTAGTACCCATTTTAGCTTTATGAGTTTTTATGAGCTTACAGAGATTGAGAATGTTCTGTGGATGTTTAAAGGGATAGTTCAACCAAAGATGAAAAATTTGTCACTGTTCACTCTTCCTCAAGTGGTTCCAAACCTTTATGAATTGAAAACAATACAATATATACTATGAAGAAAGCTGAAAACCTGTTACCTTTGACTGCCATAGTAAGCAAAAGAAATGCTATAAAAGTAAATGGTCACTGGTTTCCAACATTCCAACATCTTTTGTGTATAACAGAAAAAGAAGAGACTAAAAAACACATTAATGGTAACAGAATTAATTTTGTGGCTAAACTCTGAATCGCTTTAAGTCACAAATCATAGGTTTATTTATATACATTTGGGTGTATTATAGGTATATTTGTTTATGTGATGAATTGTGGGATAATTATTAGCATTTTTAATTTTGTCATCAATCTGCTCAGGCTTGTTCAGCTGTTGCCTAAAGAGAATCTCCTGCTTCTGAGACACATTATAGCAATGCTTCATCAAATACAGCTCAATGCGGAGATGAACCAGATGAACTCATTCAACCTGGCTGTATGTATAGCACCAAGCTTTCTGTGGAGCAGCAAACTACAGACTCAGGAGAACCATGCCAGAATGGTGAGCGCACGTGTACATGTTTTATGATCATCAGTTTATTGTAATAGCTGCTGTAGTACACGTGTAGTCAGTATTATTACACTCCAAAGGACACAACAATGGATCTAGATGGAGGAATGAAAATGTAATTGCAAATGTAATCTGTGTGCAGGTGTGTGACCTTGTGCATGTCTTGATTGACAACTGCTGTGAGCTGTTTGGGGATGGAATTATAACCCTCTTAAAGGATTTGACTGAAGACAATAGAAGCAACCGCGGATCAGGTTACTATAAATACAGACACATTTCACAAACACATAAACACCAATATGGAACTGTACAATCTGTGCACGGTCAGCCTAAAAAATGTTTTACAGCCTTAACAACAATAACAAAAACAGAAAAGGAAACATTTGAAAAGTCTACACATTTAAAGTCGATACAACATTTACTGTACTTTAAAAACGTATTTAATATAGGAATACAGTATTTTATTTGAATAAAACTTTTTGGCCAACAATATACTGTTAAATTTTTACATTGTCCGCTTAAAAATGCTTAGGCTTTTAGCAAAAAATACGAAGAATAAGAATGTTAGTAAATCATGTTTACTTTATTAACAATTATTTTAAGTATTGTTTGTTTAGATAATCTTCATTAGCGTTACAAATCCTGCCCCGATTCTGTAAAAAATTACTTTTATAACAGCAATACAATTTTACAGTCACTCATATATATATATATATATATATATATATATATATATATATATAAGCAATAACACACAAGTAACGTGCATTGGCACAAGGCTGCAGATCGAGTGCCTTAGTGTCCCACCAGTGACCATTTATAGCCATATTGCACTGCTACGAGTGTGATATTGCGCTTATATAACAGTTCAGCGGCATAATCATGTATTTAAAAAAAACAAACAAACACAAAGACTCTTAAAAATCCTTTTATTCTAGGAACTACTTTCTTCCGCCGTTCATTCACATATGCAGCTGATGTCAGAACAGCAGAAACTGTTGCTAATTCACAAACGTCACTTTATAGCTAGTATTTGAATGATTCTCTAGCGTAATGTCTAAAGTGATGACAAAACAGGTGATTTTGCTCACATTTTAAGTTTATAAGGCTGAGCAGCATGAAATGCCATCAGTCTTGAGACATTTCCCAGTATTTCTCTGTTGCAATCGGGAGATCACAATAATTAATCCCAAAAAAAGCAAAGCAAAGACTAACAGAAACACTACCAGACTATGGCATAAATACAGCACTAGATCAACTTCAAAAGTTACTTACCCGTTTTATGTTTTGATCTCCTGTAGTTTGAAATTAACATAGTTTTCTTCTCTAAGGACATTATTTATGCTGTCTCTGTTGCCATCTTGTGGCAAAACATCAACCGTCTTAGCTCTGCTCAGTATGACAGGCTGATGGATGATGACATGCAGCATCTCTGAAATTATGAATATTTAAAAAAGGCACTATCTTACAAAAACAGCCTTAAAACTTGTTGTCCAACAGCTGCAATATTTGTCAATAATTAATATATATATATATATATATATATATATATATATATAATATATATATATATATATATATACATATATATATATATATATATATATTTTTTTTTTTTTTTTCCTCAATCTAAACTATTTTTATGTTCTCACCTCTAGTTGGCTCCCTGCACCAGATGTCAGACTCGGGTTATGAGAGTCTAAAGAATGAAGTAAACACAGACACAGAGGACATTTCTAAGACCAGACCTCTAAAAGACAGTCGTAGTATGGACTCTCTCATGTCTCTAAGTGACTGCGACCTCGACTGTCCAGAAAACAAGACCTCTTCCAACCCACTGACGCGTATCAGAAACTTCACACCCACCGTGCGTCAGCCTCGATCCCTCACATTACAGAGACACTCCATGCCTGCCTTTGCTTTGACTTCTCATGAGCAGAAAACAGCCCGAGAGAGAGCCGAAGACCCAACGAGAGAGTTCCAGAGACCCGACGAGGTCAACAGTAATGTGTTTTTGGAAGCCAGCTTTGAACAGCTTCATTTCCTGAGGGAAAAACAATCACCCCCGACCTCCAATGTAACTTCACCAGCGCTCTCATCTGTGAGCTCAATGGAATGCACTTTTTCTCCTCTGAACTCTCCAGCCAAGTTGCAATCTGATTGGCTCGTTCCAAATGATGCAGATTACCAAAAATCTATCAGCTTTCAGAGTGAGAAACTATATCCTGCAAATCATCAGATGAACAAATCGGGGAATTTACTGTCTAAATTGACCAAAAATCCTCCTTCTTATGAACAAGCCTTGCAGCAGCTAAACCGAAAGGCAATCTTACAGACTCAACCCCCACAGAACGGGAAAGGCCTTTTCTACAAGGGACCTGTGAGCACTTTAGGAGACTACCAGGTGTCTCCTGCTCCCATCAGGTTCACCTGCCAAGCCAATACAGAAGAGGAGAGCAAGTTGCCACAGAGTGTGTTTTATGGCCAGAGCTGCAAGTTGACGATGCACAGGGAACAGAATGCAGATATGAAGTCTAGCAAACTCTCTGAGCAGCAGCTGAGGTGTAAAGCATTGGATTTGCATCCCTCCTCTGGGAAAATAGTTGGGGATTTCATTATCGATGCTTCCCCTATCGCTGAGAAGCTGACGAAGAAGCAGGCAATTGGGAAAGGACGCAGACTCAGCTGTTGCAGCAGCAGCCAGTGGGTTGTATGAAGCCAATAAAAAATAATGTTTTTAACCAACACATAACCACTGGCATTAAATTAATGGCAATAATGTGCCATTTTAAGATTACAGTATAAGTAGATTTTTGCACAAATTTTATGCATGCACATCGCCCGATTTTCTAATACGGAAGGCAGTAAACGTCCAAACAAATATGGAATATAGAAGGCAGTATGGATCAAATAGAAATATGAAATTTGACCATGTAAAGAGTGCATTGGGATGGTTTTAAATGGGTGTCTTTAGTTCGTGCAGACACATAGTTTGACCATGTTATGGTGGCAATTTTTATCAAGACATGAATACATGCACACATACATACAAGTCAGTATACCTTTACAACATCCTTGACAAATTAACCCATCTGTTTGTATGCATATATTTAAATGGATTTCTTCACATTAATCAGGTTTCATAAAAGGTAGAGAAAGAAAAGAAAATTTAAGGAATAAAGTGACATATCAAATGTGTTCATTAAACGTAGGGGTAACCATGAGTTATATTCAAAAATAACAATAATGTCGACAACAAAATGCATTTTAATTAAATAATATTTAGATATTTGTTTGATAAAATAAGACAAAAATAATTTGTCCGATTTTTTTTTTCTGGCTTAAGGCTATTTTAAAGCTTTATTTGTGAAAGTGTCATTTAAAAACCAGCAGACTAGTCTAAAATAGAGCTCTTTCGTTGGTTATCGTGCTTGTTGATGTGTTGACATGGTCAAATTACACATTTTGATCAATACTTTTATAGCCTTCCATGTTGCCACAACTGTAGTAAACACAACGTACGCACAGCTCTGATTTTTCTCGTACCAAGTGTCCACAAGGTGTCAGCACTGAACTGTATAATTGTGCATTCAACTGAAAGTGTACATACAAATTAAGTATTCAGTATCTAACAATTGATTGCTACATATTAATAGAAAGATTCATATTCCTTTTGTAATATTTTAGCTATTTTTCTAATACTTAATTTATATTAATTCTAACAAGTTTCAAGCCATATCACTGAAATCTCAAACTTTGAGCATGAAATGCCTTTTTTGTAAATATCTTTGATCATAACAAAACAACATTTTGTTGTAAGTGTAACATGTTTCCTTTTACAGTATATCTTTCATTATGCAAGTAAAACTATTTAAGGTATTTATTTAAAAGCAGCACACAGTCACAAAACTTCTTTTCAGGATTACGTTGGGAAATACGTTCCTTGTTGAACCTAAAACAATTAAGTATTTTAAATATTTTAATCCTAAAAGATGAATGGCACATTTCTGAGCTCCAACAGGATTATATACACTGATATTTGTGAGAATTTTAAAAATGAATGTATCATTTTTGTTTGACTGTAGTGAGATTGTAAATACAATACTGTACTTCATAAAAAGGCTATTTAATGTAGACATACAGTATGTACTTTGAATTTCATGTTTTGTTAAACTATAAATGTTATTAAAACCAGTAATCCCATATGAGTTTGCCCTAGTTTTTCAACATATTTCAGCTTAAAAGTTGCTCATGTCTAGATTTTTTTGCGCCACAATTGCATTAAATAATAATATTGAAATAAAAATATCTAAAAACAATTAAAACTTATGTACCTTGAGAATGATTAAGCTTACAACTACTGATACTACTACTACTACTACTACTACTACTACTACTACTTTTACTGATTAGTGATGCTCCGATCAGGATTTTTGCAGCCAATAAAGAGTACTGAATACTTGTCATGGTGATCAGCCTATACGGAGTACAGATTCTAATGCTTCAAGCTTTATAATGCATTAAGCACATTTTTCCATCCCTTAAAAGCGTCTTATAACCATTAAGGTGTGAGCGTGTCATGGCCAGAAGCAGCTTTAAAGAAAATAATTCATCCATTCATTTTACTTCGACTTAGTCCCATATTCATCAGGGGCTCACCACAGCGGAATGAACCGCCACAGAAAAAAAACATAACACGGATATAAAAATTGGTAAGAAAAATTACAAAATGCAATTTGGAAACATTGCAAATGATCAAAGAAGAATTTAACATCTCAATCAAGAAAAAGTTTGATGCACAAGTTAAAATAGGATTAAAAACTACTGTTTTTTTGTAGTAAGTATATTACAAGTTATATTATTAAATATTCATGTTAAAAATAACAATACATTTTTTTCATCTAAAAAATTCCAGGCAGCTTTAGTGAATTTGCAATATTGTCAAAAACACAAAACTTTCAGTTGTTATCTCTAAAAATGCCTACATGCCAGACCATTCAAATATTTTGCTTGTCTTCAACAATTGACAGCAGCTCCACAGACTCTCACAGCAGCTTGATCGCTCAATGATTTGCACTCGTGATAGCTTTACTGCTCAATTAATTTAACCTAAGAAGTATAATGCTTAGAACTTCACTAAATGTGCCTCTCACGATTTGTTCTCTTGCTCATTCACGATCGTCTCCATGATTTGCAGGTATTTTAACTAATTTTTGGGGATCATGGAGCCGGTATGAATATAGGGAAGACTCGCTGAGCCTCTGGGAGAAATCATAAAGTTGGATGAGACTAGGGGTGATCGCTTCGCTTGCACCACAGCAGCTCAAAACACTGGATAAGCATTGGTGATGGATGGATGGATGCTTGTAAACTCGTAAACAAACCCATGCGATCGGTTCATGAGATGAGATCAGCCAGATTGGCGAGTACCGATTGAGTCATGAAATGTGATTATCGGCCGATACCGATCGAAGCATCCCTGACTGATTCTACTACTACTACTACTACTACTACTACTACTACTATCATTACTATTATAAAGAGTAAAACAAATAAGGCAACTTAAAAAGTTAAACATAGTATTTATTGCAGTAAGTCAGCTACAGGCATATCTGCAATTTAAAACCAGATGAGTGTTGCAGAATCTGCACAATTAAAAAAAATACAATCACTGAAATTATAAAATCTACTCACGGCAGTATGTAAATAACATAAACGATAAATGTTATCATTTAAATTGTGGTTTTCTATTAAAATAGTACATATTAAAATACCTGCTATTAAAGATATCTCCATATTGCAGTGTTTATGATATACAGATGGGCTTTATTCAGATTATATTTTGGGTGGGGCTGTGGAGGACTCTTTTTCACTGTCAGCTCGAGCATCAGAGATCACATCTGGCACGCGCAGTATCATCCCGTCCAGATCCTTCCTCAAACACACCTGACAGCCCAGACGAGACCTGGAGATAAACATGCAAAGCAGAAACTGAGGTGAAGGTCAGTTAGGAGTATTCAGATTAAAGTTCAAGGCTCAGTATGATTATTTCATGTACAGTACAGTCATTTGCAACAACAAATGAACGCAACACCCTAATGCTATTATTAAAACGTCAAAAGACTATTATTTGTGTAAATTAGAGAAATCCATGATCAGGCAAAGCAAAGTGCTGTTCCACTTTCTACAGGTTTGCACAAACTGCTCCATTAGTTCAAATAAAATTAATTAACAGTAACTGATAAAACTTAAAAAGACAGACTTGTTCTGGGGTCTGAAATCAAAATTTCTGCAGACTTCAAGTAAATTCAGGTCTTTTTAAGACCCTTTTAATACCCTTATAAATGAAATTTAGATTTATACAGGGCTAAACACTAATATTTTTTTGTAATATCCTGGTTGGGCCAATAGAATTGGAAAAGAACAAATGTAGTTATTTCTTGACCACATATACTAATGTGTCTAGTTGTATGCACTTTTTCCAAAACGTTTCTTTTTTTTAATGACAAGTTTAGCATTGTCAAATGTATATTTATTTTGAAAAATAACAACTCCTAGGTTTTTCATTAGGTTTTTTGTTTTCTCTTTCCGATTTTGAAAATTAAGAAAATTAGCTGTAAAAAGGTCTAACAGGTGTTGTAATTTGTATCTCTTTACAAAAAAATAAAAAATAAATAAAATTTGTTTTGTTTTTGAAATTTAAGATAATTTAAAAGACTTTAAGACCCCGCAGACACCCTGGAAATGGAGGAGTTTATTTATAAAAACAGACAAACCCGTTTTTAGTCATTTTCAGATACCATGTTTTATGTTGTGTACTAAAGAGTAAAATGGCAGAAAGGTGATTTAGGGAAATGACACACTGGAATTCATAAGAGATGTTAAGAAATTATGTTTTAATATTGATTATTGAAGAGCACAATAGCACCAGATTTCTATAACCATACTAAAAACAGTAGATTTAAATGTTTTGTATTCCTCGGCCCTTTTTAATTCATTGGTGTCATTCACAATGCCTCATGAGATTGAAGTTCTTTTCTCATTAGATGACCAATCTTTTAGCCATATTTTTTTTACCCAATTTTCATACATTTTCATACAATCAAAGATTGTAACATTTGCAGTTTAGTTTGTATGGCTTGTTTTTACTTTGAATATCCCTTGAGGAAAAATAAATGGGAAACATTCTTCCAAAACCAGTTCTGCCAAAAATGTGGGCATGTGCAGGCACTAATGCACATCATTAGGTTAGGCTCATTTAAAATGAGCAAAATCTGTGTAGAAACAGTCACCACTGATCACAGACAGATTCAATATTATTCAATTTGACATTTATGTTTGTCAAAGATGAACATGCCAGATAGAGATGTTCACTAGTGTGAGCGGTCTTGCTTTCAGTCAAAAAAAAACCAGTCCTTTCGTTATAATATCACCATGTTTAAGGTCTGATTTCTTTAAAAATCAGTGATCTTCACTGCCTGATAGGGTCTCAGACCGGACAAGAAGCCCTGCATTAAATTCCATTTCCCCCATCATGTCTGTAAATGTAGGATTTTATAAATATCAATTTATAACAGTATTTTCAATGGAGTTTCGGCACTCACCTGCTGATCCTGAGAGCTCTAGTGCTTACACGTTCTTTCATTTGGTTTTACGCTTGAACAACTAAATAAATGCTAAAGTCTATTTAACTGAATCTATTGTAAATACATTACAACACCGATGCTGTAAAAGGAACCTTATGAAATTGAAAATAGTCACATTAAGCTTTTACCAGAAAATTATAATTGGCTGAAAAACACTAGCTGTGCATATAGCCCATTGCCAAAATAAGACAAAAAACAAAAATGGTGAAGCATCCATGCTGAGTTGTATAGTCAGGCACATTTGTTCTTCCCTGATTGTGCTGATTAAAGGCATGAAGGAAAACTTAATTTATTGAGTTATGGTTAAAATAACAGTGAAATACTGTCCTCCTCTAAAATAGTTTTTTGTAACCCTATAACGCTAGTAATGCTTTATTATTACTGGTTGCCTATTCAATACTTAAAAAAAAAAAAAAAAAAAAAAGGCCTATAACCATGCATTTTACTATTTTAATACATGACATGATTTTGCTTAAAAACTAATGAAATCAAGTTTCCAACACAAACAGTTGGATGTGAGCCTTTTACAGTCAGGGACTGCTTTAGATGCTTAAACAGACAGGGCAATCATAGAGTGCAACAATGTTTACATTTACAGGGGAATAAACCTATAAATGGTTTACTGATTCTTTTCTCTACATACAGTATATGGAACTTTCAAACTGGACTACTTCAAACTGTAGTCCATTCCCAAAACAAAGCTACGAATTGGACAAATATTTCTTATTGTTCGGTCATTTGAAGTTTCAAAGCATAAAGCAGAAACACCCAGGGTTCACTCACGTGTCTGTAAGCCCATAAGCCAAGTCCAGCATGTCCATTTCCTCATCAGAAACGGGTCCAAGCTTCTTATAAACGTCCTCTTCGAAAATAAGGTGGCACGTAGAGCAGGCCAAAGTTCCCTCGCATGCACCTAGTTCAACCCGAAACAGACATACAGAAATATTAGGCTGCCAGTTAACAAGCATGACCAGCATTAAAATACCTTTGTACTACAGTACTAGCTGTTCACCTCATTTTACCTTTGGATTACATACATAAAGCCAACAAAGACCAGTTTACAACATTTTTTATTTGATATGCCACATATATTATATACATGTGTGTGTTTTTTTACTTAATTTACCCGTATAAACCTGAAAACAATGTCACACCAAGCAATTTTAAGGGTAAGAGCAGGTAGAAATAAGAAATCGTCAATTTTATTTGTGCACATTTATACCTGAAGTTTCCAAACACTTTGCACTTGCATCTTTTACACTATTCTTAAATATCTTACCAAATCCATCAATATCTAGATCACGGTCGACAACAACATCAAGTAGCGATTCTCCAATTGAAGCTTTCACCGTAATCCTTTTTCCATCACGATTTAGGAAATGAACAGTCACCTTCTCTTCAGCCCTGCATAGAAACACTTGTTTAAGCATTACAATGCAAATCTGGAATCACCATCAATTCTTAGAAGTGAATTATGAAAACCTAGAACAACGATTTCTTGTATTCTTAAGCACCTTTTCTGAAAATATGGGATAAACTTTTGTAGTTGATC